TTTTTCACACATTCATTCCAAGTTGGTATCAGAGCCACAACTGTAACCCTAACCCTAGCCCCTCCTCCACGTTGCAGCTGACAGCCACCGGCCTCCATATCACCAACCACCGATTGACTGCCTCAATAACCACCCAGCAAAACAAACCAGACAGTCGCCGCTCACCCAACTCCACCAACTGCCGGTTCCTTGCAACAACCTACTAGTAAGCCACCATCCTTCCACTGATAACAGCCCAGCGGAAAAAAAAAAAAAAAAACACATACCAATCTACCGACAAACTCAATAATCTGTCCATCCACCGACAGTCCCCCACAAAAGCCACTGACAGACCCATAAATTCGACTGCCCATAACACCGACAAACCCAGAAAATCACATACCATCCCAACCTAGCAGCGACCCAACCCTAGCTAACCCACTACTAGCAACCCATTCCACCGATTGCTCACTAGTGACCCACTGCCCAAGTCCAACGATCCAACCAGCTAATCAGACCATTCAACCCAGGAAGCCAACAACCCACCAATAGTATTGTTGTTGATATGGCTACAACTCAGGAGCTCTCATATGCTTGGCAGGGAGATATGACCGTTCAGGATTATTATGGCTATTTGACCCAGCGCTGGCTTGAGTATGAGTCTCTACGTCCTCTTGCTGCTATTCCGAAGATAGAGCCCGAGGGAGCAGCATTCTTGCATACTCGAGAGCAGGAGGATAGGATTCACAAGTTCCTTATGGGGCTTCGTGATGAGTTTGAGGGACCTCGTTCTCAGATCTTGTCGATGTTGACACTTCCTTCTCTTTATGAGGTGTATGGGATGATTGAGCAGCATGAGCGTCGAGTCCGTATTGCATCACTTCCAGTTGCAGCTTTGACTCCTTCGATTGACCAGATGGCCCTTGCAGCTGCTGTAGGGTCCCGTTCAGGATCCTTAGTCAGGGATGGGCAACGCTCAGACCAGCGCCGTCAGGGCGCCCCAGATCAGCGCAGACGGGGGGATTCCCGTCAATGTGATTATTGTGGCAGACCAGGACATCTCAGGGCTACTTGCTGGAAGCTCCATCCGGAGCTTAAGCCACCTTCTCGCAGCCGTACTGTTGCTATTGCTGGGTACCACCGCCCACTACCGCCACTCCTGCTACTGCTCCTCCTTGGCAAAGTGATATGGATGCTATCACTTCCCGATTAGATATACTTATGTCTGCTCTGACTTCTCAGAGTCTGACTATTGCTGTTGTCACCACTACAGGTATATCTCGTGCCTTTCACGCTTGTGCCAGTTCATCTCCCCTTTGGATGTTGGACTCGGGTGCGAATGGTCACATGACAGGTGAGGCCCATCACTTCACCACTTTTGACGAGCCGTTACATACACAGGTTCAGTTAGCAGATGGAACACATGCCCCTATTGTTAGTAGGGGTACAGTCCGTCTCCCAGATGGCCTTACATTACATTCGGTTTTTCATGCGTCAAAGTTGGCCATGAATCTATTATCTGTACATCAGTTAGCCAGAGATTTTCACTGTGCGGTTGTATTCTTATCTGATTCGTGTTATTTGCAGGACCTGAGTACCAGGAGGATTATTATCAAGGGACATGAGAAAGATGGACTGTATTATCTTGGCAATCCATCTCCAGTTTCACCAATTCCTTCACCTGCACCTGCTTTGTCTTTTTCTGTTCCTAGCTTGCATGCTAGTATTTTACCTAGTAGTTGTCGTTATGATTTTTCGTCACAAACTGTTCAATTGTGGCATGACCGTTTTGGACATACAAATTTTAAATATTTATGTATGTTGTTTCCTGCTTTGAGTAATGCTTGTGTTGGTGGTAAACTTGATTGCGTTATCTGTTCCCTATCAAAACATGTTAGGGCCAATTATATTCCTCGCATGCACCAGTCACCCAAGCCATTTGACCTAATACACTCTGATATTTGGGGACCCTCTCCCGTTACTGCTCTGTCAGGTGCCAGATATTATGTGACATTTATAGATGATCATACCCGTTGTACTTGGGTCTACCTTTTGCATAGGAAGTCTGATGTGCTCCCTATAATCACTCAGTTTTTACAGATGATTAAGACACAATTCGATGTCATTGTTCGTGCTCTTCGTTCGGATAATGCCAAAGAATATGTGTCTGATGCTTTAGTGTCTCACCTTTCTTCTCAGGGTATCCTTCAGCAACTCACTTGTCCATATACTCCTGAGCAAAATGGTGTTGCTGAGAGGAAAAATAGGAGTTTGATAGGGATGGTACGTTGTCTGCTTAGAGGCATGAGGGTACCAAAATCTTATTGGCATTTTGCTGTTTTGACTTCTACCTTTCTGTGCAATCGTACGCCGAGTCGTGTTCTTCAGCATAAGGCTCCCTTACAGGTCTTATTTCCTGAGCGGACACTTTTTCCGGTCCCCCCTCGTGTTTTTGGATGCACATGTTTTGTTCAGGATCGGTCTCCTACTCGTCATAAACTTGATGATAAAGCGATTCGTTGTATCTTTGTGGGCTATTGTCATCAATCTAAGGGGTATCGATGTTATGATCCTATTAGGCGTCGTATGTATCACAGTCTAGATGTTACTTTTCTTGAGCATATTCCTTATTTTCCTTTCAGTCCTTTGTCTGCCCCTTCAGTTGATGATACTCCCTTTGATTTTCCATTACCACAAGAGTCAGAGTCATTGATCACTATCCCTACAGGGTCATCCGTTTTTCCTCCAAAGGAGTCACTCATCCCTGTCAGTACAGAGTTACCAGTCTCTCTTCCTTTGCAGGTGTATGCTCGTTGTCCTCGCTCTCATCACCCTGCTGATATCCCCTCTACCTCAGGCGATGCAGGTAATACTTCTCAGTTTGTTGAGCATATTGATGCACCTGTTGTTAGTACTGATGAGATTACAGGTGTTGAGCCAGTTACTTTACCTGATAAGATATTATCAGTAGAGGATGGTGATTTAGGGCGTCGTTATCCAAGGCGTGATCGCCGTCCAGTTGATCGATATGGTTGGACTGCCAAGATTTTATATCCGATCTCTGCTTATGTTTCTTATGGTAATCTGTCTCCCACATTTCAAGCTTATACTATGGCCTTATCAGATACGCTGGTTCCTCGCTCTATTTCGGAAGCTATGCGGGAGCCCCAGTGGGTTCTTGCCATGCAGACAGAGATGGACGCTCTTCAGCGTAATCATACATGGGATCTTGTCTCCTTACCTTCAGGGGTGAAGCCTGTTGGCTGTCGCTGGGTTTACACCCTGAAGTTTCTTGCAGATGGTACTATTGATCGTTACAAGGCTAGACTTGTGGCGAAGGGCTTTACTCAGGTACCAGGTCGTGATTTTGGTGCTACATTTGCCCCCGTGGCAAAATTGACTACTGTTCGGTTAATTATTTCTCTGGCTGCGAAGTACTCTTGGCCTCTTCATCAATTAGATGTGAAAAATGCGTTTCTTCACGGTGATTTGGACGAGATTATTTATATGGATGCACCACCGGGCTTTCGTGGTGAGGGGGAGTATGCTGGAAAGGTATGTCGACTGCATAAGTCTCTTTATGGACTGAAACAGTCGCCACGAGCCTGGTTCTCTCGCTTCAGTGATGTAGTCATACGATTGGGGTTCACCAGGTGTCATTCTGATCATACCTGCTTTATTCGACGGAATACTTCTGGACAGTGTGTCATCCTTCTGGTATATGTTGATGATATTATTATTACTGGTGATGATGTTTCTGGGACTGCACAGGTCAAGATAGACCTTGGGAAGGCCTTCGATGTGAAGGATCTTGGATTTCTGCGATACTTTCTTGGGATTGAGGTTGCCCGTAGAAAGAGGTATTGTTCTTTCTCAGAGAAAGTATGTTTTGGATCTTCTTTCAGACACTGGGATGTTGGGGTGCAAACCGGCATCATCACCTATGATTCCAAACCTGAAGCTTACTGCTGAAGGTGAGGAGTTGAAAGATCCGACAGTTTATCAAAGATTGGTAGGTAGACTTATCTACTTAGCCAATACTAGGCCGGACATTTCATTCGCAGTCAGCCGAGTTAGTCAGTTCATGCATAGGTCATGTCAGCCTCATCTTGATGCAGTTTATCATATTCTTCGGTACCTCAAGTCTTGTCCTGGACTTGGGTTGTTTTATGCATCAGGATCTCAGACCGGTTCTCTAGCCTGTTATTCAGATTCAGATTATGGGGGAGCATGTGATGGTCGATCTACTACGGGTTTCTGTGCTTTTCGAGGGACTCATCTTTTCTCTTGGAAGAGCAAGAAGCAGGCAGTTGTCTCCTGCTCGTCCGCAGAGGCAGAGTATCGGGCATTGGCACTTGGCACATGTGAGATTATTTGGCTACGATCAATTCTTGACGAGTTGGGTTTTTCAGTGACCTCTCCATCCACATTATATTGTGATAATCAATCTACTATTCAGCTCGCTTCTGACTCTGTACTACATGAGAGAACGAAGCATATAGAGATCGATGTTCACTTTCTTCGGGAGAATGTCAGCAGTGGTCTTGTTACTCCATCGTTTGTGGGGACCAGTGATCAAGTTGCGGATGTTTTTACCAAACCTGTCACTCTGTCTATTCTTCGGGACTCCGTTGTCAAGCTTAGCTTAGTTGACATTTTTGCGCCTAGCTTGAGGGGGAGTGTTGGAGTATAGATAGTCTAGGTTTATTAGGATTTCTTTTCCCTTTTTTACCCTTACTAAGATTTTTATATTTTGTCTAAACTACAAGGATGTTTAAGTCACTCTGTATTATTTTTGGATATATATACGGGGCTCTACTCTTAATTTGAGTATCCCTTTTTCACACACATTCATTCCAAGTATAACTAACCAACTGAATCTTTAAAAGAATACTCAAGCTGATTGATTAAATGTGTGCATGTATTGGTCTTCTCATGCTCTGTCACAGCCTTATGATGATCGTAGTCATTTGATGATGAAGAGTAAGCTATGCTGGCTGGCTTTCACAAACTTGTTATAGTTAATGAAAAGTTTCTCCAATCTCTAGGACAAAAGCCTTGAGATTCTTGGCTGAAGACCCACCATCCTTCATAGCATCCCTCATCAAATCTTTCCATTTCTCAGCATTTCTTCTCAATTCTTCTGCTCTGTCTCCACCTCCCATCACCGTTTCTATGCACCTTTTAAGCTCGTCACCCTCGACAGTTCCTTCTTTGTTCGGCTTCACCCTCACCCCCGTCTTCCACACATCTTCAATCATTTTCGCGTTGGTCCCCTGATCTGTCCACTGAAGAAATGCCACCATCGGAACCCCAGAAACCAAACTCTCCACTGTAGAATTCCACCCATAGTGTGTCACAAAACACCCCAGTGAAGGGTGTGATAATATCTCTAGTTGAGAACACCACGGCACTATCATCCCTTGTTGCTCCAATTCCTCCATGCAACTTAGTTTATCTTTGTCTTTCTCTTCTTCTCCATACTCCTTCACTTTAATCACCCACAAAAATGGCCTGCAACTCTCTAACAAGCCTCGAGCGATCTCTTCCATTTGCTTTCTTGGTAGAGACAGAATGCTTCCAAAAGATACATAAACAACTGATGATTTAGGCTTCGAGCTTATCCACTCGACATAAGAGTTTGATTTCTGAAAGAGGTCACCTCCAAAGGAAGTGTCTAATGGCTCTTTTCCATCCAAGAAAGCAGAAGGAATTAGTGGCCCAAACCCAATCAAATTGTACTTATCAATGGCCTTTAAGGCTTCTGGCTCTAGTGCATCGAAAGAGTTAACAAGAACTGTTGGGTTGGTTTCTTCATCTAGTATTTCCAATTGCTCTTGAAATGATTGGAGGGCATTGAATTCGTCTGAGTTTGAAGGGAGTAGAAAGGAGGGAAGGTCATGGATTTTTAGCAGTGGCAATCCTGGTAGCTCAATGGACCATGATGGCCAGGGCGGAGCCAGGAATTTTGCTCAAGGCACTTTAATTATGCACTCTAATTTTTTTCCTTCTAACCAATCATACTATATAACATATTTATATTTATTATATTATATTTGATATATGACGGCCATTTAACATAAAAAATTCCAAAAAAAAAATACATATTGTCAGGGGCGAAGCCATGAATATCCATGATAAAGGCAAAATATAACTGGTATAAAATAATATTTAGCCGAAATTAATACAAAAAAAATCAGTTCAAAAATTAAAAAAAAAAGTATGACTCAACACTAAATTATTGTAAAATAATAAATTCAATTTTTATTTAGCGGAAACAAAATCTTAACAAAAAGACACCAAATAATTTTTTTAGTACATTTTAACCTAATTATATATTTCAATAAAATATAAAAATTTTTAAAATCTCTAAAATTTTGTATATGAATTAAATGTAAATTAATTTTTCACTAATTTTCTATCAATGCGCACAATCACAAATACGTAGTAAAATTAATCTTTATTTAGTTACAAAATTTAGTTGAGATCATTATCAATCTTATAGAGAAATTTCCTATTCAAAATAGTTTGAAATATTTTTGGGTTACAACCTTTTGTTTTTTGTATACAATTGTATTTTATTAGGTTATAGACTACTATTACTAAAAAAATGATAAACGAAAACTAAAAATTATTCTTAAAAAGTAACGAACATTGTGTTAGATAAAGATAAATATTGTATTTTTGTCAATATACAAAAAGAACATTGACTCAATCCAAAACTAACATATTTTACTTTAGAAGGTTAGTGGTCCACTAATTTATTAAAAAAAAAAAGACTAGAACCATTATTAAAATTTCAAAAAATTTAGGGGGTAAATATAATGCATAAAATAATTTTATAAGTTGGTGCAAGGAAGGCCAAAAAAACTCAAGGAACTGAGCTTCTCGTGTGTTGAGCTTCTCTCTATTTTTTCTCTTTTTCTTGTGACTGGGCAGTGGGCAGTTGGGAGTGAGTGATACAGAGAGGAAAAAAAAAAAGGGAAAGATAAGATAGGTTTTAGTCAAGTGGGCCAAAAGTTTTGTTTTTAATTTTGGACCAAATATTTTGTTTTTAATGTTGAACTAAAAGTTTTGTTTTTTAAATAGATTTGAGTGGATTGTGATTGGTCAAGTATTTGATTTTTTAATAAGTTTGGGTAGATAATAATGAGTTCAATTTTTTTTGTTTTAAATGGACTTAATTTTTTAATCATTTTGGCTAAATAATGTGGGCCTAATATAAATGAGGGGGACACACATAATATATATGTATAAATATAAAATACATATATCTAACTAATAAAAAAAATAAATGAGGGGTGACACGTGCCCACCCTGGCCCTGCCTCCCTCCGCCTATGGGGACAGTATAAAGCTTTATCATAATCTGTTGGAATTTGGAGAGACTTTAGGCATTGTAGAATTGTTGGAGAGTGGCATTAAATCTGGAGGATAAGGTTAGCATAGTTGTAATGCTAAAGGCTAGAAATAGGAAAAAAATATTTTTCATGTATGCTCATATTTTAAAGTAGTATAGATAAATAAAAATCATAACCATTGACTTAAACTTCTAAAGTCTTTTCATGTTTTGTGTGTAACATTAGAGCTTTTCCTACCTCAAATCAAATGCTTCGACAAAGAAAATATGATGTACGGGTGATCACCCATCACCACGTTGACGTTGAACAAGTTGCAATAGATTGTTTGGAGCGGACTACCGTTACGCATTGAAAGCTTAACAAAAGACTACAGAATAGTACTAGACGCAAAATGAATCGAGCTCAGAATTCAATAAAATTAGTTTCAAACGAAAAAAACCAATGATCAATTCTCGTAACTATGCTATGAAATCTGTTTTTTTGGACAAGTTTCATCATCTAAGTCTTCAAAATAGTCTTTTTATCGTCTAAAGAAATATTTCCAAAATTAATAATAAACGATAAGAGATTTCAATTTTTGTGTCATTCGAGTTCTTTATTGAATAATTTACAACATTTAGAGTTTTTTTTTTTCTTCTGCGGATTCAGAGTTGTATGTATATTCAATATGTAAACAAACACTACTTTTAGGTAGTAAGTAACCCTTGAACTCTTCTCATACAAACTACTCCAGATACTAAACCTTCATTAGTTGATCATTGATGCATTATTTTCTATTCAATTGGAACATGGATTAAAAAAATTGGATCCACCAGAGATAGTTTACTTTATATACTCTTAAAAATAATGAATAAGATAAAATAAAAAATTTTAAAAAAATACTCGTGTTGCATTTTTATTAGACGATCGAAAAAAGAGCCTATGTAAGCCCGACAATTTAGTATGGGAGGCTCACATCTTTGCCCAAAGTGGTCAATGTTTTTAAAAAACGTCGTCAATAGTATACTTTTTCGTAAATAAAAAAATAAAAAATAACAATCTATTGTGGTCTATGGACATCCTGTGTAAGTGGGCACATATTGACTTGCTTACTCTTGCAATTATTCTTCCTCTACTTGTATGCTTCTATCATTTTGCCCCTTCTGCGAGGGGGTGGGGACCTGCAGATGAGAATTTGAGTCTCCCTGTTTCTTTATACTTAAAGCATTAACTTCCTGTTATTCCTTTTCCATCCTCCTCTTTTCCCTTTTAAATAAAAAATTGGCTGATATTTTTCTGTTTTATTTACGCAGGGCACTAGTGTTTATATGGGAGCTACTCCAGTTGTTGAATGTATGGAAAGGTACAAACCCAATGTTATTGTTACTTCTCGGGTTGCAGATGCTTCATTATTCTTAGCTCCAATGGTAAGAACTACAACTTCCTGATTCAATTAGTACATATCAACATGCTTCTTTCTGATTCTAAGTCGGTGTTTACCCACCAGGTGTCTGGTGGCTTTTTTAACGAATAATAATCTCTGCCATGGGTTGGGCACGTGGTAATTCATAGGATTCTACTTTTGTAGAAAATGTCAGTGCACCTCTTGTGTTACCACTATAATAAAAATTAGAATGATTCGGTGGATCAAGGGCACTATATGGATGATCTGTTTCAAAACTTGTCAAACAATAAAAAATTTTAAACTGTTCACGTGTAAGTAAATTATAATTCAAACGTGCTGCCTATCCAACCAATCAAAATTTGAATGATTCCTCGTATTGGTTGTAGCAGCAGGTTTTTCTGTCGGTTATACCGATGCTTAAATTTCAGGGCTACTTATGGTATAATTTAATTGTGAGGGGTATTGGTGTAAATCAGTACTGTGACATTTATGAGTGTAGTAATTGAGGCAGAAGCTCTAGAGAATTTTGTAGGGGACAAAATGAGGTGGCTAATATTCTTTTATTGGTTGTAAGAGGCGGTGGCACTCTTGTTTGTGCATAGGTAGTGGATATAACTAATTAACCATAGGATACCCTACTCTTTACAGATCTGGGAGTCCTAACGCCATCTGTAGTAAGTCATGAGCTAATCCAGCTATACTTATAGCCATGGTTCTATCTAAATTTATTGACAAGTTGAATGACACCTAAAACAAACATATTCTCACTGTCTAAAATGAATATGTACCTATAATCTTTTCATGTGTTCGTTTTATACAATGTTTTCTCTAGATCAATTTATTTTGGATATTATCTGATAGATTTGTTTTGTTAAATGATAGAGCTTACTTTGAATTCTCTTGATGGCCTATATATTTTAAGTTCTAATATTTTCCATGTATTTGATAGATTTATTTTAATGGACTAGTTGTATGTGGTGGTCAATTTGATTATGCAGATCCTGGATAGTGTTGAGCTTGGAGATGGTATTTCAAGGTATGGAACTGAACTGCTGAAGCTGTTCAAGTTTAAGAGACATTAAATGTAATTAGAGATGGTGTAAATCCTCTTGAAAGATTAAAGCCATTTTTTCTATTTTTAGAATTTCTTGTTTTTCGATTCTTATAATTAATTTTTTTTGGAAATAAAATTTTGGTTTATTTTTAAAAATGTGAAATTTTGTTGTTTTTTATTGAACACAGGTATTATTAGTATACAGGTTAAAAATTTTATTGGAATATTATTTTTTATGTAAAATAAAAAAAAATAAACTTTTTGCGACGGAATAAAAATCGTTGCAAAAAACTGCAGGAACAAGATTTTTCGCGACAATTTTTATATGTCGCAAATGTATTTATTCAATTATTTTTTAAAATTTTAATTTATTAAAAAAATATTCAAGACGATTTTTGTACGTCGCTAAAAATTAATTAAATTATCATAGTTTGCATTTTTTATTTTTAAAAACATTATTCGCGATGCCTTTTTTACGTCACCAAAAATGAATTAAATTATTATTTTTTTGCATTTTTTATTTATGAAAAAATTATTCGCGACGACCTTTTTACGTCGCTAAAAATTTATTTTTTTCATTTTTTATTTATGGAAAAATTATTCGCGACGATTTTTTTACGTAGCTGAAAAGTAATTAAATTATTATTTTTTACATTTTGTATTTAAAAAAAATTATTAGCGACAATTTTTTTACGTTGCTAAAAATGAATTAAATTATAATTTTTTACATTTTTATTTATGAAAAAATTATTTGCAACGATTTTTTTACGTCGTGAAAAAGTAATTAAATTAATATTTTTTATATTCTAAATTTGGTGGAATATATTTTAGCGACTATTTTATTTCGTTCCGAAATTTTTTTTTTTCGGAAGAAAATAAATTTGCGTCGCAAAGTACTTTTTGCGACGAAAAAAAAACGTCGCACAAAACAAATGGTGACGATTTTTTTTAATTTAGCGACGAAAAAAATCGTCGCAAAAAACAATTTTTTTTGTAGTGACTAGAGCTATTCTCACTAAACCAAATCTATAAATCAAAGACGGGTAACTAACCTCTTTGAATGAATCTGTTATGATTGCACTACACTTTGATGAAGGATCCAGTTATGTTACCTTCTTCCCGGGATCACGGCATTCAGAGGCATCTTGTAAGTGATATTGTACATTCTTCACTTCTACTTGGCTAATATTTGTCCATTAAAAGTCATGGTTCTCTATTTCTAATGCTGTGAATTGCAGAGCGACCCATTTAATTGATCCCGTCTTACTTCGGACATGTTGATTCCCAACACTGAGCTAAAGGCAAAAATTGAAGAATCCATCAGGTATCTATAGTAGAAGCGACATGGAGAAGATTTGAACATACAAACCACTAACGCTACGTTCGGTACGCGGTAATATTTTTCGGTATGACTAAAATGAGTTTGAGAATGGAATGGAATGCGCATTACCATTCTAATGTTTGACAATTATTTAAGATTAAGTGCTGGAATAGAATGTTCATTCCATTTTTATGTTTAGATAAAACAATTTTTTCATTGGAATGAAATCAACTTTAACTAAAGTATCCAAAGTGACTGAAAATAATTAATAACAATTTTTTTTGGGGCTTAGGGAGGCCGGTATCTCTTTAAGAACTTAATAGGACAAAAGTACACTTTTTAAAATATTTGGGATAGAAGTACATTTGTAAAAAACAATTCATAAAAGCCCTTTTAGATGAAGAAGATGAAGAGACTTCTGATTTTGGGAATCAATAGTACCAAAGAGTCATTAATGACAATTTCTAAAATCAAATCTTTCCTAAAACTTTTTGAATTCTAAAAATTTTGTAATTTCAATCCTTGCCATCACACTCACACACACACACACACACACATATACATATATAGTAACATCAGACAGTAACATACTCAACATAAAAATAATAACATCAGACAGTAACAAACTTAACATAAAAAATAGTAAACGTCAAACAGTAACACGTTCAACAAAAAAATAGAAACATCAAATAGTAACACATTCAACAAAAAAAATAATAACATCAAAATAATAGCATGTTCAACAAAAAAATAGTAACATCAAACAGTAACATGATCACCAAAAATTTAATCATTGTAATAGAGTAATTCTACTCCTCCTCTGGAGTTTGGGGGATATCAAAATGATTGCCATCAAAATAATAGCATGTTCAACAAAAAAATAGTAACATCAAACAGTAACATGATCACCAAAAATTTAATCATTGTAATAGAGTAATTCTACTCCTCCTCTGGAGTTTGGGGGATATCAAAATGATTGCCTGTTGAGCAAAAATCCAGTGGGAGTAAGTATGGACTTTGCTTTAGAGGCATTTTTAGTTGCTTTAGAAATGGGTATTTGTCAAATGTCAACATTGTTCTAGATGTAATGGGATTGAACGAAAGTGGGGGTGCTCAGGCGAGCCACAATCAAACCGCTACGGATTAGATCAGTGTCTATCTACTACAGAAAGTGGACAATGATTAATGTTGAACTTCTTGTGGGAGTAAGTACTTACCATTGATGTGAAGAATATTCAATTGTTTTGGAGATCTACCTGGCCTTGGTGCATGCAAATGTTGAGGAATTTTCTTTAGACTTTTGTTGTTCATGAATTATTCAATCGAGAGCTTCCTATCACCGACTATGTCCATTCTTCTCTTGCTCCCACTCAACTCTCATTCACTCATCATTTGTTGACTCTTGATCCTCACACTTTATCTCATGTCCTCTGTTTTCTCCATATCAGTATCTTAGAGACTCAAACACATGTCATCTTGTGTATTTATTCGAAAATCCTATACCCTAAACCTTAAAAAAACCAAAAAAAGAGAGTATAATGAAAATGTAGGAACATCTGAATGCATAGACCTCAGAAAAAGGAAGATAATGCCAGAATCTCCGTTCCCATATCCTTGTCGGCAACGTACAGCACTGAAAACACTATTATAAAAAGTGCATCAGAGACTCTAATTTGTTGCCTTTAGAGCTTAGCTTACATCATTTCAAATAGGATCACCCAACCCAACACCTCTCAATTTATAACATGATACAGAAAATCTAATATTAAAAACAAACAAACAAAAAAAAGGCTCAGAGAGTAATGATTTTGGATAACATCCACAAGGCAAGCTTTCATAGTTTGATGGTATATTTTTTCTTCATCACTGCCTCTATTAATAGTTTCTTGGAAGCATAAAGACAAAAAATAATTGGAGATAAAATATTTCTTCAAAACAATTGACACATGAACTATACCAGAAAAAAAAAATCAAAAATGAAAACAACAACAACAACAGCACACAATGTATGTTTTCTCATTTAGGATTATCATCGAACAGGTTTCAGACATAATCTCATTCAACTGATTTAACTTGTTCACCCAATACATTTCCAACCCATTTCAACTGTATAAGCATGAAAACTAATTCAACTAAACATGAAAAACAATTATTCATTGATCAAGACCGAGGAATTACCAGATTGGTGGCCAAAGTCGGTTCTGGTCTAGTCTATGATGGTCTTTGTCTTCGATTCAGCACTTCCCTTCAAAAACTGGTTAGAAATAGGTCGACATTAGCTAAGACGGGATGAGGTGAGGGGTGGAATGCCATGGGTCTCGGTGGAGAATAGTCGAGAGTCGAGCAGAGGAGTGGAAGAGGGAGAAGAGATTTGGCAGGGAGAGCGCTTAGCCGATAAAAGAAAACGAAGAGAAAAAGAAACAGTGGGGGATGGGGAATAGTCGGGTTTTTTTGTGTTATGAATGGGTAATACCATGTCTTATTTGGTAGTGAGTAATCCCATGTTTTGTGGCATTAATTATTTCTTAGGAATGGAATGAATTGTCATTACTATGTACTAAATATTGGAACGAGCATTACTAAGTAATGGTCATTTCATTCTCATGTTTCATTACCACTAATCAAATACAACGTTAGAGTATGATATAAACAACGTCTGACAGAGTGACATTGATTGATTAGGTCTTTGTAAATGTAAATTAGGGTGCTTGTGAATATACATGGGGTGCGTATCTGTGTGTGCACAAAAACAAGGCGGCGGAAAAAATCGGTTGATCTTTGCCACCCGCTTTACCTAGGATTTCTACCATGAAGGATGCGTCAAGATCAGCAAAGTGATCATGGTTTTGAAGCAATGATAAAGTAGTTTCTTTATGATCTCAGCATCACAAATAAGTCACTGAAACAGTCTATGCTTACGCAAAGGATAAAATTGCATACAAATGATCTCCCTAAATCCTCCTATTGACAGAAATCCGTGCATTTGATTATTTTGAAGTAGGAGTTTATTGACTGCATGCCACTCCTTCGAGGAATAGATCGTAGTGCACTGAACAATTTACAATTGTTCGCCGTATGCCAAGCCAAAAGTTTCTGCTATTGCACAAAAAATAACTACCAAGGTCTTCCCATGTGGTATATAGAAATCATATTGTATGACAAACTAAAGTACAACCTTGGGGAGAAAAGGTTTACCATGGTGAAATAAATCGAAATGCATAAAGATATCAACTGGAAAATGCTAAGTTGAATAAAGTTGCAATGCGAGATCAGTTGAAGCAGAGGATGACATCAAATTGTGCACTTATAAGCAAGATTACATCCACATTGCTCAGCAGTGGGGCAGAAATATTCTCCATCAAGTCGTTTCACGATCAATTAGACCTTCAAAATCCACTGTCAAAATTGATAAAACAACTACCCACAGATATTATAGGTAAATCTCTCCCTCTCTCTCTCTCTCTCTCTCTAATCATGCTTTTGAAATAATTACACCGCTGTGGAGATTCCCTCAGGAGAGAAGGGGTGGAAATTTAGAATGGAATTCTGGATTGGAACATGGCAGTGATTTACTTATTCGAGTGCTAAATTGTTTTGAGAAAGGTAGTTGTGTGAAGAGATAAGTGGCAACTAAATAGTAGGCTCCAGGAGATCGATTTGCATCTGACCGCATCTGCCACCTCCTTGCAATGGTCACGATTTTCACACTTTGTTTTCTTCACTAGGCAAACAACTCCATCTTTTTCTGTAATTGCATTCTTGTGTATAACAGATTCATATTGCATTCTTTCGTTTAGCTACTAAAGACAAAGCTATATCTGTATCCAATATCGGATACAGATACTGGTTGAATACTAGTGGATACTTACCAGATACTTTCCACACATATCAAATAATTAATAAAATATATATCATTATTCGATACTTGTCAGATACACTTTGAATAGAGATTTCTCCATAGGAGATACATTTGTCTTATACTTAATGAGCTGGGCTACATAGAACTCATGAATCATATAAATGAGAATTTCTTGTTCCAAGATGTTCATTTGAACTTGCATCGCATATGTCATTGTCAATTCTTTATAGTGATTGACCAGAATAACGAATTTTTATAACTTATGTCAAAACCAATGAAGTCGATCACAATTAAATACTAAGTAAAAGTTGAAAACTCTTAAAAGGTGACTCATGCTTAACTTTAGAATTATATAGAATATTAGATTCAAAGCATGATAAAACAATCCGGAGAGGTGTGAATTAGAAGTTGTCTAGTATTGGGGTTCATGCAATAAATGATATTTTTGAGCAAAAAAAAATATTTTGGGATAAATTTTGTACCATTAGATCGAAGTAGTTAAAAATTAAATCAATCTTAACCGGTGTTGTACTTCTATAATTTGAGAGTTCAACTTCCTTGTTGTAATATTATATAGATATATAAACGCATTTGATCGTACCCGTATTCTAGTTTTTAATATTTTATCGTATCCATGTCATACCGTACCGTTATCCATGCTTCCTTGGGAGAAAATAACAACTGGTCAAACTTAGTTCCCTAAGCAGATGGTTATAAATGTTGGATCAAGTAGAGGCAAATCAAATTCTACCATGTATACTGCAATGTCATTCTCCATTCCTACACTTTTAACTTCTAAAACTACGACTAGATGACCAATGCACATGTTATTCACGTGTTTTGATACATCTTAAGCATTGGTCGTAAAAAACTAGGACTACATGAGCAATGCATGCATGTTATTCATATAATGTTGCTACATCTTAAGCTTTTCGGGGGGCATAACAACAAATAAAATGACAGCAAAAACAACACCTGTAAGATTTTCCGGGGTCACTATCTACATAATAAAACATAAATATGTTTAAATTTTATTCCAGTCATATTTTTTCTCTCAAAACTATCACCAATCACTTACCTCACCCATCATCTCTTTGTCACACTCAAATATCAAATCGCATCACTTATTTTTATTATATGTTTAATCATTTATATATTTTTTCTCTATAAACATCACATCATTCATTTCTACCATATAATTAATCATTTAATATTTAATTAATTTATAGTTAATATATTTTTAAAAAAATTAATATAATAGAATCGATTTTTTAGCCGCTCAAATTTTATATTTTATTGTGCCTTTAGGCACGAGTTATGACTAATTTCTAAATATTCTACAACAGGAAATCCAGAGGTTAGACCGTTGATGCCTTTATCAAAGCTTTGTCGTGAACCTGGTTAACTTCCTGTTCGCATACTCTTTGGCAATACTAATTGCACTCTTGCAGTGATGCAGATAAAATTCCTCAAGAAGAGTTTGGCTGTCGTCCAATGTTAGATCACCATGACAACCCTGTACACAACAATGAACATTTTTTTGTAAACTGGAATCCAAATGCATTTTCAACTCACTATATATGATATAATTTCGAGTTAGATATGTGTATAATTCACATCATTGAACTAAAGGACATATTTTCCATATCAGATACGAATGTGCTCACCCAAAAATTCGCGACGTTTCACCATCGTCTTAACAAAAATGGTATTGAAAAGAATATAAACCAATGAGATTCCCAAAAAGTAGATGCCAATGAATGAAATAGTACAACTACTTCTATAAAGGACCAAATTGAGAAAAAAAAAAGAGTAAACATAAATTACGTAGTATGAAAACAAGTAAAGCTGTCACATCTTGGAAAAGGAACGACCTTACTACCAACTGGTAAACAGAACTCCAAAATGTCTTAAGATTTATAATGGACACACAATGTGTAATTTCCAGTTATCCTGTATAGCAACTGATCATCCACTACAAAGCAAAATGAAAACATTCGCCAAAGTGATCAATTTTGGGATCATGAAATTTAGCACAAAATAAAACCATAGTTTGTGCTGGAAGCCAGTTATTACCAAGCGAGAAGTCCTGTCACAGACGGCATGGTGCATGAGAATGCCAGCAGCAACAAAAACATTGAAAGAATCCACCATGCCTTTCATAGGAATACTGCAATGCAGATCTGACAACTCCAGAGCCTCGTTGCTTATCCCACTGGGATCAGAAATTCACCAATTTCAAATTGTAACTTTTGATTAAGATGATTATACTCCCAAAAAAAGGTTTACGTTACTCCACATAGCAAAACATGTGCTCAAGTTCGCGTTTCGGAGAAACACTACTGAATGCAATATAAGCTTACCAGCTATGATGTTATTCAAGCATTGAAAACATGTTCGAGTCAACCTACTTCACTGGTATTCTGAGTCTTATATACGGGCTAGATAAACCACAACCAGAACTGGTATAATATCTTTTGTCTTTCCTGAGCAAGTGAGAAATTGAAATGATCAAAATGTCCATTTCGCTATCAATGACGTGCAACAATCCATTTGACAGATGTAAACTGGGAATGATCTTTAGACATTTTTCTAGTTAACACCTATATTGATGATTGAAACTCGAGAGTTAACTGAAGACAGAAAATGACTCTACATCACTTAAGTATTAATGCAAGCAAGAGACTGAACAGAATCAATAATTTATGAATCAGAAGAATATTTTTCCAATGTTGAGGTCGAGCTGATACAATGACTAGTATGGCAGGCCTATCCATTCTTTCAGGCAGCATTTCAAGACAGGCAGGAAGAATGCACAGGTAAATCTTATCACTTTCACACCAGCAAGCAGAGGCGAAACCAGATTTTGGATGAAGTAAGGTCAGTAGACAGCTAATTATGGTATCAACTGGTAAGTCATATTAAAACCCTAATTAATCAACTTCATTTCCTCATCAAAAAACTAATAGTTTGAAAAACGACAAAAAAAAATAGTATGGATTAATCACATGAATTGAAAATTTGATACAATAGGAGTTTTTCCAACTTAATGTGAAAATCCAAAAAAAAATGTTTCATAATTTCCCAACATTAAAAATATACTTGTTTTAAATTTTCACATACGCCACGAGTAGCATTTTCATTTATATCAATAGCCTTCCCACACTTAATACATCAATGAGGGTTCATTTGGATTTGAGCCTAAGGAAACATATTTTCAACCAGCCTCTAAATAAATATATTTGCTTTAAATTTTTTGAGCTTCCAAATTGTGCAAATGCAAAAGTCTGTCTAAAATCGAAAGAGAACTAGCGAGAACAACTGTAGTCACCTATTTTCATTTCCAACAACTATTGCTGTTGAGCATGACCAGTCCATATCATAAATGGAAACCTGCACAAAGCACAAGAGCCTGTGTCATATTTATGCTCAAAAAAGAGAACTTTTGCACTGGTGAAATATAGAAAAATGCAACTTTATGATTACTGAATTTCAGAAACAGAAGAAGCAGGATTTATTGGTACCGCATCCATTCCCACATGCGTTGTGGCAATACGATAACCACGTGATTTTAAAACTTTGAAGCACTGCTCGGTAGAGTTCCAAAGTTCGATATCGAACCATTTCTCAGCTCCCATGCTCACATGACGATTGTCTCCGTACCTGCAAGTCACATGGGGTATCCCATTATAGTTAAAGAAGGGAGGTCTACCCTTTCAGTTTAAAGCTTCAATTTTGCAAATTGGGGAAGACCTAGGCTGGCCAAAGAAACTTTCAGGAATCAGTACAGGTTCTACAGCATGCTAGAGTGTTCATAAAACTCATTACAAGCATAATTCTGCATCTCTTGTAAAATCTTACAATTGACCCTATAGCATAGGATAATATTTAAACAAGTGTTTCCACAATTCCTAATTCCTGAGGAGTGGTGTATTACTTCAACCTCTATCCAAACCAAAATGCAAGTATCACACTTTCTCCAGGAGCCACCTGAACATAACCTTGCAAATTTTAGTGCGCTGGTGGTCCAATCAAATGCAATATACTCTGAATACTATATCAAACAATAAATTGTTATACTAAACAAAGTCATAATTTGAAACAAAAAACACAGTAATTCTCCTGTAAAATCAAGGCATTTTTCACCTCAAATCTTGTTGCACCTTTTCGAGCTGTCGCAGGGCACAACATGAACTGACTGGAACCCTAGCGCATCCACTGACCAAAATGTTGCAGAAACATTCCCGAAATCACACAATCCCTCGACCACCAAACACACCGAATAGCTCCGATTCTTTGCCAAATTCCGAAACCTCTCCTTCCACACATCCAATATATGCGGATCAAGCGCTTCCAACACTTCACCACTTCAAATGCATACTTCTTGCATCAAATTTATCAAGATATGGAAACCAACGTCCCGATTGGATAAACTGGTTTTTACTATCCAAATCAGACCTGCGTTCCATTTTCAATACCTGTTTATCTGAACTCTATCAGGCTATAGCCAGGAGTCCTTTTAAGACTTCTCTCCTTGGCCAAAGCTCTTACTTGGGCTGCTTCCTTCCACTTCTCTCCTCCAGCATAAATATTTGACACCAAACCATATGTGCTTGGGTTTTGAGGCTCCAAATCCAAAAGCCACCTTCCCACAGTTTCCCCCATCTCAGAATTTCCATGAACTCTGCAAGCAGCAAGCAAAGCACCAAGTGCAGAAGCACTTTGTCTTGGTGGCAGACATCGCAGCAAATCATAAGCTTCTTCAAGCCGTCCTGCTCTACTTAGTAAGTCTATCATACACCCATAATGTTCTTCCGATGGAATCATTGAGTACTCTTCTTTCATGGATCTAAAAATATGCAGACCCTCTTCTACCAAGCCAGAATGACTACAGGCGGCAAGTACTGATCTGAAGGTTAAGTCATCAGGTACAACATTCTCCTTTTTCATTTGGTCAAACAATTTGAGAGCCTGGACACATCTTCCATGCATTCCATATGCAGCAATCATTGTGTTCCACGAGACCAAACACCGACCAGCCATGTGCTCAAATAAAACTCTGGACATGTCTAATTTTCCACATTTGCTGTAAGCAGTAATCAGAGAATTAATGACAGGTATCCCTATGTCCAAGGATACGCGCTGCACAAGACAATGAACTTCCTTTGCTAGATTTAGAAATCCAAGCTGAGCAAATGCTTGAAGCAGACATATTAATGTGACAGAGTCGGGACTCAGATTTTCTCTTTGCATTAGCCGGAACAAGGTTACAGCTTCATCGGCATGACCTTGGTGCAAATAACCCATCATCATTGATGTCCATGACACCAAATCCTTACGTTTTATGTTTTTGAAGATTCGGCTCGCACACTGTACAAAACCACATTTTGCGTACATGTAAATGATCTGATTAGCAATTTCCGTGTTTGATCCAAACCCACGTCTAAACACATATCCATGGATGCACTTGCCTTGTCTTACATCTTTTAGATCGGATAATGCAGAAAGTATACTCATAATGGTGACTGGGTTCAGTCTAATACCTATACCAACCATTTCATAAAATACTTCAATGGCCTGACAAGCAAATCCATTCTGGAGATAACCAGCTATCATCACATTAAATGAGATAACGTCCTTTTCCTCAATTCTGTCGAAGATTTCCCTGGCCAGGATTAAATGGTTGCATTTCAAATACATATCAATCAGAGCTGTGGTAGCAACAATATCAAGTTGAGCACCAGTTCGCACAATATAAGCATGGATGATCTTACCTACAAGCAAATTCTCCAAGTCAGCACAACTCAAAAGCCCATTTGCTAAAGTAATCAAATCAAGCTCATAATTTCTTTGGACCATTTGAAAGAAAAGATGCAATGCCTCTAGGGGCTGCCCCAACTGAAGATGACGAGAAATCAAAGCATTCCAGGAACCCACCGTTCTCGAGCCCATTCTAGCAAAAAATGTGGCCGCCATATTTGGTGGCCCACACTTGTTATACATGTCCATCAGACTTGTTTCAAATACTTCATCTGAACAACCAATTCCTCTTCTAATAGCATACCCATGAATTGATTGACCCTCTTCTAATGCTCCTAACTCTGACGCTGCCTGAAGTAAGCTCACTAGTGTCACCCGATTAGGATCAATTTCTTCCTTCTGCATATGATAAGCAACTCTAAAAGCCTCATATGCTCGGTGATCACCAACTTGAGCATAGCCCGTAATCAAAGACGTATAAGCAACAATATCTTTCTCAATTATTTCATCAAACGCTTTAGCTGCTTCCTCAATATCACCACATCTTGAATACAGCCCTATGAGAGACGACCCCACAAACTTACTAATATTTAATCCAAACTTGAGAGCATCAGTATGAATACCTCTTCCAAATTCTAAGTCACCCAACTCAATACAGCTTTTCAAACCGAATAAAATGGCTGAACTACGAATCCCCACTGTTTGATGCCTTACATATGAGTATAGCCTTAAAAGTTCATCAGACTGACCAATAGGCCGATCGAGCGTTTCCAACACTTCACCGCCACTCAAATGCATACTTCCTGCATCAAATTTATCGAGATATGGAAACCAACGCCTCGATTGGTTAAACTGGTCTTTACTATCCAAATCAGACCTGCGTTCCATTTTCATTAATCTTGAAACGTCGTCGCTTTTCAAAAGCAACTCTTCGACCGAGTCTTTACCTGATTCCTCCGGCGGTTCTAGGGTTAAGAGCTGAGTGATTGTTTCGTCCGTACATTCTGTGGTTTCCAAAGGAATTGCTTCTTCAATGAAGCTGCAACATCTTAAATGAGCTCTATAGGATTGGAGTCTAAACCCTAACTTTTTTCGAACAGAAAACAAGGCAAAACAGTACAAGGATCGATTAAACATACGCAGAAAATACATTGGGGAATAATAATCGACAGACGAATACACAAACGCATAAAAAATAGGAAAGGTAGAGAATTTCACCAGGATTTCGAGAGACGAGAGAGGGGAACAAAAGATGAGGTGAAGGAGAGGATGAGAATGCACAGAGGTGAGGAAGAGAGAGAGAAGAGGAAGTTCGTCGATGAGGGCTTCGGACTCTGCATTCAAGGCAAGAAATATATGTACGAACTAGGGTTTTGCAGGTACTCATTGCAGAGAACACTTCGGTGAGAGACAGAGAGGGGTCAAAGAAGAAGGCGAAGGAGGTTGATGCTGTTGATAATTACAGAAAGGAGGGTGAGAAAACGTGGAAATGACATCGTTTAGGAGTTTGAGGGAGTTTTAAAATGAGTCCAAAGATTCCAAACGACAGCATTCAATAAGAGAAACGCAGCGTTTTGGGTTTGGATCCTTTTTTTCTTGTATATTGTACCATAATCTGGACACTATTTGAATTTAATACGAGATTAAGAAGTTAAATTTGATTACTAAAAAACATGAATTAGAAAATAATACAATTTATTAAAATAACTAACAAATAAATCGAGCTATCTAATTTTGACATGATTTATTCTGTTTTTTATTTTACACCGTTGCGATACCTTTAGGAGGTAATAAGGTATCTCCTAATAGAGTTTAATTCGTTAACCTTCATTGTGTTGTCTTATTTATCTAATAAAATAATTAATTTTTTTCTCGTTTCTATCACATCATTCATTTTTATCACAAATTGAATAATTTAATTTTTAATTCATTTATAAAAAAATATAATTTTATTTTATGCATTATTCATATAAGATAGTGTACACATTGTATTTGAAAAAAAAATTGTCAATTTTATTTTAAAAATAATGGATAAAATTAATTTTAAATTATAAATTAAAAAAAAAAAAAAAAAATATATTATTTAATATAGTAAGATCAATTTTTTGGACGCTCATGTTTAACATTGCATCGTAAATTTAGACACGAATTATCTATAATCTATAATATAAAACAAAGCGGTTTCAACAAACAAATTCTACAATCTTAAATTAATTCATCCAACGGCCACCAATATTCTCTTACTTCCCCCCAAATTCACCTCCTTCCACTCATATTATTTTTTAAAATCAGACCTCTCAGTCACCTCATCTGAGAGATGCCACTTCCCTCTATTTTCTTTTTTTTTTCCCTCAAAATCAGATCTCTCTCAAGCCATGCATTTGCTTCATTGTCGTTTCTTCTTCCCCCCGGTCGGTCAGTCAGTCAGTCAGTCTCTCTCTCTCTCTCATGCCCCAGCGACACCACTAGCAACACCACCACCACCAGCACCACCACCACCATCGCGGCCGCTGCTAATCCGTCACAGGTATCCCTCATCTCTCTCTCTTTCTCACTCACACACACACACCCTTCCTCAAAATTACTAACCATTGAAGACTTTTGAGGTTCTCAGCACACATACGAAGTGCAAAGATGATCATTACCGACCAGATCACCCTTTCTGTTTTTGTGTGTTTCATCGTCAGCCCAATTTTCAACACCCTCCATGTCGAACATCTTCACAACATCACAAAAAACCTATTTAGTGTTCAATCTGAGCTTCAACCCACTTTTGCTGCAATTTGAACCATTCAGAGAAGATATGGGGGCAAGATGGGTGTTAGTGTGTGTGTGTGTGTGTGTTAGAGAGAGAGAGAGAGATGACGGATACCTGGAAGGGATTAGCAGTAGCGGCGGTGGTGGTGCTGCTACTGATGAAGTGGCGTTGGTGGTGGTGCGCTGGGGCATGAGAGAAAGAGAAAGTAAGGACTGGCCCGGGGGGAAGAAGAAACAACAATGAAGCAAGAGGTATGGCTTGAGACAAATGAGATGACTGAGAGGTCTGATTTTAAAAAATAATATGAGTGGAAAGAGGTGAATTTGGGGGGAAATAAGGAAAAATTGGTGGCCGTTGGATGAATTAATTTAAGACTGTAGGATTTGTTTGTTAAAACCGCTTTGTTTTATATTATAGATGTTTGTTTGGAATGAGTTCTTAACTCGTAGAATCTACACTCACCTCAACAATAGTGTGTGGACTGTTCCATTGGTATATGACTTCTTTAAACAGGTATTCAATATTTTAATGCTTCTTTCAATTCATAGACAGCAAAAATTCTATACAAAAATGTAATGTAAGGGAATTCTATTAGTTCATAATTTATTCTTTCCCATCTTAGCTCCTGTAATAGGACCCTGATATGATTCATTGTGGTAAACATCTGGTAGAAACATTTTTTCTTTTTTTACTATTTTTTCCGGATTTTCATACTTCTCAACAATGATGTAGAATAACTTTTTTCATGTTTAGTTTGAGAAGAATGATTCTACATGTCGGTGCTTTCCTAATGTGGACAATCTCATGATAAGTTGGATGTCGCTTTGTTTACCTGCCCAGATTCAAATGTTAAGTGCAAATAACTAACTGAGAAACACATATTTAGTTTGTCAAGCTTGCTGACCTTGAAGATAGTTTTCACAGCTTTGTTGTCTTGCCAAATGACCATATAATCTTTCTGCAAGATTAGAGTCCTCTAATATTTATGTTTGCTTGCTTTGAAATTCTTTTGTCTGGTTGAATAGTTGTGGTTACGTTCTTTGAAGTGCTTGGTCTGGTATTATCTTCCTGAATTATTTAAAAGATTTGATGATTGCATGCAATTGAATTGTTAGGGTTTTGGAGAATAAGAGAGAGAGATTGAGAAAAGTGTTTATTGTATTAGGTTAAACAACTAAAACACTTTTTTTTTCTCTATTTTTCAATAGTAATTTTCTGGGTATTTTTAATCCGTTTGCAGCAGCTCTAGGGCTCCTTTTATGCTATGTTTTCCAGTCAAAAATTGACCCTCTATGTTATCCCTTCAGGTTTCTTTGAAGGCAATACACACAGCCACTTGCAACCCTTTTGCAAACCAATGGACAGCCTTTTCAAGTTTTCTAATGACATCAAAAGCAACAACTTGATTCAGTTTTCTGTTATTTAATTGTTGGGAATCTCTCAATTTTTTGTCCTTTTGGAGATGCACTTCTAATTTTAGTTGTATTAACAGAGAACTATGTTGTGTAGCTGTTGATGAGGTTGATATTTTTCAAATGCCGAAAATAGAGGTTTATGTGGATTTGATTCTATCTTAAAGCATATGATCTTCCAATTTTTAAAAATTTATTCTTTTATTTGGATGAGCAAATAGATTATCTTCATCAAGAATTGAGGTTGATCTGCGATATTAAAAGTGTAAAACCCTGGTAAATTTAAATTTTTTCTGAAAAATGGCAAAAAAGTAATTTGTTACAATAGTGCGGATTTGAGATACACATTTCTCTAGACCTCGGATGAGAAAACGGACTTCTCCATTGGACTCGTATTGCGAAAACTAGTTACACTGCCAAATTTCGTCAAATTTCAAGATAGTCAAATTTTTGCACGTAATTCGAGACGACTAGGTGACGGATGACCTCACGAATGTCCCCATAAATAAATTTTATAAAAATTTCCTATAATTGTATTAAAGTTCAAATAAAATTAATTTGAACTTAAACCGATATGTAATGAATCGTTTCGGAATAAAAAACATATCCGAAAATAGAAAAACGTGTGGCGCAACGTGCACCGCACATTTGGGACTATAAATATTGACCTAAATCAAATATTTTGGGGGAGATATTTCATTTGTTCAGCACACCAAACGTGTGAGGAGAGAGAAGAGAGAAAAGAGAAGAAAAAAAACAAGATCTTTAAGCTTCTCTATTCGATTCTTGGAGTTCCGTCGCTCGAATCAACTCGAGTCAAGAACTAAAGTCGATCACGTCGATGAGAGCTACGCAAACACACCAAAAACGAGAAATTTCACCAAAGATCAAAAGAGAAACTTTTGGGAAAATCAAGATCTTGGGGGTATTGGTGGGTGTTCTCGAAGTTTTAGCCTTCGGTTTACGCTTCAAGCGATATGATTCCTTCTACTTTGATGTATTTCTAACCTTTGATGTCCATAGAAAAAATGTTTAGATGTATATATGACATATAACTTGTATATAGTTATGAAAATGAGAAACTGAGCATGAAAATGGCTTATGCTAACTTCTAGCTTGAGTTTGATGCATAGTAGTTACTTATGTAATATCTTGTAACTTGGTGATTATGTGGACTGTTTTATGGACTGATTATGGGGCTATTTTTATGGACTATTTTGGACTGATTATGAGACTGTTTTGAGGCTGTTTTTATGGACTGTTTTGGACTGATTATGGCGCTGTTTTGAGACTGTTTTTATGGGTTGTTTAGGGGCTATTTTGGTGGCCTATTTTGGGGCTACTATGTGGCTGTTTAAGAGCTATTTTGGTGGCCTGTTTCAGAGACGCTATGTGGCTTGTTTTGGGCTATTTGTAGGCTGTTATGTAGGCTTGTTATATGTCCACATTATGCCTTAAGAATTAAGGGTGTTATTGCTTGATTATGTTGTAACATGCTTAGGGATTGTGTTGGAAAATTTTTTTGATATATGTATATTAATATATTGATATTGTGATGAATTTTTGGAGGTTATATGCATATAATATAATTGTTCATGATACATGATAAAATGTGTGATTTAAGTTGTCCATGTGACATTCATTACATATAAAATATGACATTGACATTTAATGGTACATTATATTGTATATGCACGGGAACATCGCATTACATGGGTGTGAGTGCATGGTTGAAAGCAAACACCACATTTGGTGATTGATAAGTGGGCTCGGTATTGTTGGACCAAGGTTCAACAGAATAGCACGGTTGCATTAAATAGAAAACTTGTGTCGGGTATAGCAAGAAAGGCTACACACTCCCTCAGGTGAAAAACCCGGTTACTGGTTCATACACTCTGACGGTGAAAGTCCAAAAAGTGTAGATAGGCTTACGGAACAGGCGGTGTGATTCCAAAATCTGTTACCCA